GCAAATTGCATAGCACCAAGGGGAAGTGCACATAAAAAGAAATAAGAAAAACAATGTGGCTTAATATTGAGTTACCCTCCATGGCATATAAGGTACAAAGAAGTATTGGCAATGGCACAAATCTGGTAAATAAAAATATCTCGGTGCCGGGAAAGGATATATATAGAGAAAGAAGGAGAAAAGTTGAAGTAGTTATGAGCTCATTAACAATAATTCTTTTGCAGGATCACTTACTTTAAAATCCCAGCAAGCCAACAATGAACAATGAAAATATTCAGCTAACAAGCAACACATTTTTGAAACATTACTCCTGTTTTACATGAGTGGTGAGCATGGGGAGGAGGTTGCTAACTGATCTGCTTTTCTAAGAAGCAAAATATTTTTGAGCCAAATTCTTGGCTAGATTCTTGTCGGCATGCAACAACAAAAAGGCAACATCTAAAAGCTTATTATTATAAGTTTGATTTAATGTAATCATCTTTTTGTGAAATACAGCCAACACGCTCATATATTTTATTGTCAGGAAATGAAGGTATAGCATTGAATTATATTTATAAGCAAAAAGATGATGAAAAAAGATAGAAATAAGAACATAATTCTATGTATAACTACTCAGTCAAAAGCACTCTCTGGGGGGAAGCAGACGGGCGGCCTTGGGCCGCCCCGGGGAAGCTGCACCGTGGGGCTGAGGTATCCCCACACCTCGGCCCCATGGCGCAGCTTCACCGCCCCTGGAAGGAGTGCTAAAATAACACTCCTTCTACAAGTCACCGAAGGTGCACCGCAAAAGGCTGGCGGCGCACCTTCAACGATTCTTCTGCCACAGTATGTGCAGACGCTGATGCAGGAAGGCATTGTCGGAGCGCTGGCCATGCGGAGGGGCCGGCGCTCCGACGATGCCTTTGGGAAGGGGTTGGGGCACCCACTGTGCAGTTGCCCCTCCCCTTCCTTGCCCTCAAAACGGCCCTTTGTGCCATCTGCTTCCCCCCTCTATGTCAGCTCTAACTGGGCTCACTCTAGGTAGGTATCCACAGGACTGAAGCGTGACAAAATCAGATATTCTTCCAATTATCTTCTGGCCTTTATTTAAATTATCTGTAGATTCTGGTAGCAGCCAAAGGTAGCTGCCAATAACAATAACAAACTTGTTAGAATATTGGTAGGTCTTTGGCAGTAAGCAGG